GGACACAGCCTGAGGTCTTGACGGATTGCTTGTGTGTGTTTGAAGGCAAAAACCAGATTCAGGTTCAGGGACAAGTATAGATTTCAGGAGAAGCCTCAGAAAGAGGAGTTTATAGCCCCATAATCATTGAGAGAGGATTGGTTTGTGCATAGGTTCAGATGGGTGTCCCAGGCATCTCTATCCGTGACTCTTCTGGTTGTATTTTATAAGACACACCATCCTGTATGTGAACATATGAAGAATATCTTCTAGACACTGTCAGAATCACCCTGCCACTGACTTTGGGTGTACCTGCTGCTTATCCCATCTGGATCCTCGATAGGTACCTGGCTGTCCACACAGCTTCCTCCCTTTAGCTCCTCTATCCAAACACCTGCAGCCATGGTGATCTTTCCAAATACAGACGCATCACTCACAAAGTGAAGGTCTTGCTCCTTAGTGGGCAGCAGGGGCCTCCACAATGTGAGCCTGTCTTCACTCACCTGCATTTCCCTCAGTTCTCAGCGTACACTCAGGTGCTTTGGTCAGCTTTCATTGCTATGACCAAAAGACTTGACGAGAACAACTTAAAGGAAGAAAAGTTGATTCTGACTCACAGTTTCAGAGGTTCAGGCCTTGGACAACCAACTTCATAGCTCTTTGCCCAAGGTGAGGCAGCCCATCATGGTGGAAGGGCATGGCAGGAGAAAGCAGCTCCGGACATGGCCACTGGAAAGCAGAGAGAGTTCCACTCACCTAGGACAAAGTATACACCCCAAAGTCACGCCCCGGTGACCTACCTCCTCCAGTCATACCCAGCACCTGCCTACATCTACCACCCATAATCTATGTAAGTGAAATGATGAACTGATAAGGTAAATTAATAGAGCTTATATTTTGGGCTTGTGATCAGTATAAATAAGATGGTGACTTTCTCTTGAATTTTTAATAATGTGAGTTTTCATATGTGTAGATAAAAAAAATTGAGAGCCAAGACTTAACTTGACTATGTTAGCATAGGACTGTTTTCCATTTTCAACTTGTCTGAGAATTGTCACTAGGGATATTAATGGCTTTCTGCACTTTTTACTGTATAGTGTTCAGTAGCATTAAAACCATTCATGCATTCCCTTTCATGTAACGTTTAATAAACTGAGAGCAAAATATCAAGTTAAAAAAATGAATTGAGTGCTTCATGCATGCCTAATTCTATTCAGCATGTTTTAAATTCTGGTTTCCTGTTTGTATTGAATGTATTTGTTGATGAGCTATAAAGTATTACAAACAACCTGCAAACTAATTCATGATTCAA